TGATGATGATGATGATGATGATGATGATGATGATGATGATGATGATGATGATGATGGAAGAGGAAGAGGAAGAGGAAGAGGAAGAACCACCTATCCCAGGTCCTTGGGAAAGACTTGATAGGTGGATAAAAATGCCAAATCCAGTCTAAACATCTGGCTGACTGTGCGACCAACAGTAATAATAATAATAAAATAATGTCTTACACATTTCACTTAAAAGGACTCAGGAGTGATTCTGGATATCTGTAGCATGGACAGGCTTGACTAATTGATGTGAGAATGAGTTAATTCTTTCAACAACTGGTTCTAGAGGTTGGGTGGCACATTAACCCAACCATTGGGAGGCAACTTCAGTCTGTCTCTGAATGGAAGAGGAGGTGTCCCATAGTTCCAAGAGTTCACAGGAGATACTCTAGAGACTTTAATCCCAGGGCAGGTGTGAGACTAGTCTGAAGATGCCATAACTAAAGATGAAGCAGGTAAGTAAGCAGAGAGGACAAAAAGCCAGCAAATCTTGTCAAAAAGATCCCTTCTGGGAGGTAGATAAGAAGGAAACAAGTCGTTAAGGAAACAAAGGAAAAATGTCACCTGAACCAGACAAAGGAAGTTGGGCCTGAGCACATGGGAAAAAATCCAATCCCAGCTAATCAACAAACCAAGAACTTTGGGGGGTAAAAAGGGGTCCTGAAGCCTACCCACTCCTTAAATCGTTTTTGGATCCAGACTTGGTGGCTTCCATCCCTCTAGCTAGTGCCCGGCAGCCTAGTTGAGATGGATGTGGGTAAGTGTGGATAAGTGTATATGTGAGAGAGAAAGAGCAAATGTACATTGTAACCAGTGAAGTTGTGCTGTTACTTTAAATTCACTGGGTCTCCGTGTATTCCAAAGAAGCTGTTCGGTTGAAAGTGGTTTGTGTGTGCCCCTAATTATTTCCCGGCTGTTCACCAGGGCTGTGTGTCTTGTCTGCTTTAACTGTACCTATCTGGAAAACCCAGGTAGAGCAAAAGGGGGGCTTACAAGATCCATGTGCCTCAACAGACTGTGAGTGTGTGAGTGAGTCACCATAAGCCGAACCTGGGAGTGTGTGTAACGCAGGCCTTGTGGTTCTTTCTGGAACTCATGGAGTACTGTATGCATATAGCTACCATATATTCTATCCCCTGGTAAATCAGAGAAATTCATTGTAAGGCCATGGCAGTGACAATCAGTTTGCGATGTGTCTGTGGAGAGTCATTAAAGATGATATCACAGAGCTTCATTTGATAAGCAGTAACAGTTAAGAGAAAGAGTGTAGAGATTTACCCCAAATCCAAATTTTGGGCACAAAAATTCAAATACCCTCTGGTTCTCCTGACTCTGCTAGTGAAACAAACATATCAGTAGAGATTTCTGATTCATGAGACTTGAGGAAGTATGAATGCCATCCTGCTGGTGGACCTTCAGTCTCACTAGTATGCTGCTACCATAAGTTTCTAAGCCAATTCACAACACAGCTTGGTTCAGAAGTCTTACCTGCTAACACATTCTATTTTGGAATGCTTTTCAAATGTAGTACTTGAAATGAAGGGTCAAGATTTGAGTTTCTTTCCAGATGCATGGTTTGCTGGTAATTGTCAGAATACTTACCACTAATTCAGTCCCCCATAATATGTACAAACTATTTGTTTAAGCATCAAAGAAGCCATTGGCAGTTTTCTAAGAAATTTTTGGTTTGGGTCATCTTCTTTGGAACACCTCCATCTCCATTATGAACATCCATGGGAAAAGAGCCTAGTTTATCTCAAGTAAGCTTTTAGATCTAAAATGAACTTAATACGTATTTTATTTTCGAAAGTTTTTTTAAATTTTGAGAAGCTTGTCAAACACTACGTTATTTAATTCTGATGTAATTCATGCAATTAAAATCTTTAGAAATAGACCTTTCAGATGAAAGATTTAAGGCCATCAGAGGTAGCAAAATAACAGGTGGCATAGATCAGGGTTCCTCAACCTTGACAACTTGAAGACATATGGACTACAACTCCCCCAAATCCCCCCCCCCCCCCC